CTTTTGTGTTTGTCCTTTGTGTCCACGTTTTTTAGCTTTTGTGTTTGTCCTTTGTGTCCACGACAGGGTCAGACAACAGGGGGAGTCGGGGGCAAAATTAGCCTAAAATGTCTTAAATTGCCCTTGACATTTTCATGGAGGGGCATTTAAATTCTCAGCTAGATGTAATTTTAGCGGTCGCAAAACGTGACAAGAGCGACAGTTAACAAGAATACTTCAATACTTCATTGAAGATTCATCGAACACTTACTATACATTTAATAAAAATAGGCTCAGAAATGAAAGCAGAAATATCTCTGGACAACGTAACGTGTTTATTAGGTGAGATAAAGCTAGCATTGAGACAGCTGTGTCCTGCAGTGACGACTGTGTCTGTGATGTGCAGCACTGTTGAAACTGTCAGGCAGATGAACGATGGCAGGTTTCCCAGGAGGGGAGTGGGGGGTGTCGAGGGGCAAAGAAAGACATAAGAATTAATATTCTGCACCAATCCCACCCCGAGTTTCTTCCCCCACACTGATGCCAAGGTCGGTCTTTTCAAATGCAAAACACATCACAAAGACTGAAGAGGTTTAAAGAGCTGGAGCCGCTGACGGAGACGAGCAGACGGAGAAAAACACACAGATGGAGGCAGGAAACACACACATCTCCACCAGCGTAAACAGTAAATAGGTGAAAATCTGTGGGAAAATTGTTGGGAAGCATGAGGGAAAATTTAATGGCTTTTTAAAGGGCCGAGCATTTCATTTTCTACCATTTGTTGTCGTGCGTCCAGCTCATAATGAAACAATGGCTTTAATTGGTTTTCTGCAGCAACAGGATGAAAATGAAGACGTAAATACAGGGCTCACTCTGAAAGGAACCACTCATTAATAATAAAAATAAAAAAAACTAAAAACAATGTGTTCATCGGCGTCATTTTTGGTTTGTTTGCCGCAAGGCAAGAATAAAAGTGCAGCTGACTTTATGAGGCTACGTTAGCTGTGTTTCTCACGTTCTGCCACGGGTAAATATGGGGCATTTGGGGTCATATTCTGGGTATTTATATCAAATATTGTGACTACTAGGTATCAGCTTTTACTAAGATTTTACTTTTAGCTTATTTTACTTTAAACTATTAATATTCACACTTAATTAACACTTACAATGAAGCCATTTGACTTGTATCTTTCTTGGCTAGCGTCCAGCTATCCATCTCTTTAGGCTACTTTTATTGGGGTCTTTGGGGGGATTGGTGTCCAGAGTGTAGCATGTAGCTCCGTTATCTGTGTTTTTGGTGAAACTGTCTTTTATCTCTCAGTTTTTGGATTTTTATTTTGAAGTATTCAAATGTTATAAGTTTGGCATTTGGAGTCCAGTACTTTTGCTGTGTTTTCCTGTTAAGGTTGAACAACATGTTCTAACCTCAGTTTTTCTTCATTTTGCCTTAGTAGAAATTTTAAAGTAAAATTTTGTCTGAGCTCTGATGATAAACAGCCACTGTCTAAAAGTGCAGGGCAACGTTTTGACCTCAGCTTTTACTTATTTCTACCTCTGTTGTTCAGACTTTTGTTTTATTATTTCACAATAAGTTCATGAAAGCATTAGGAGGAATTAAAATAAGAGTTTGTGACATTTTCACCTCATTAAAAAGGGCCGGTCCAAATAAAAACTATTCCTTTTGTCATTTTTCAGTCAGAACCCCCCGGCTCCGACTGTGGGGAACACGGACCGCTGAACTCTCCGTGAATTGTAGGTTTTCGGGTAATGGAGACATTTAAATCAGAGTTGCTGAGCTTGTTGCTCCACCCTACTCTCACCACATCATGTTACCACATCGAACAGTGAGCTCAGAGGCTGATGAGATAAACATCCTCCCCCTGGACTCTCCCTGCTCTGCTTTCTCCCTGCAGCTGCTGTCAAACCTCCCTCTGCTCCAACAATGGCGCGCTCCTTAATTGTCAACCGTATCGAACCCCTAACTGGACTGGCTGTCTGGAAGGGTATCAGATGGTAATCAGTACCAGCACCGTCACTCAGGGCCTCTGACGTCACAGACACATGCCTGTATGATTAGTCCTGGTCCAGATCCAGCTGACCTGCATTGTCGCCTGTGATCAGTGTCCCCAGAAAACATCCACCATGGGACAAACAGCGGTCACGAGTGTTGTCGCTTAGCTCCACGGGGTTCTGGCGCAGAGCACGAGGGTTCTGGGCCGGGCTTGCCGTCTTGTCCGGTTACTGGAATACAAAATTTCCTGAACAAGATCATAATTCCTGATGTATTCAGAAAACAGAAATAATTGTATTTGTTTTTAACATTTCCTGTTCAATGTTTTGGGAGCGGATCAATTGTGAGATAATAATTTGAAGGGAACCATTGTTCTGTCAAAAACTCCTGGCTAACATCTCTGTCTCATGGTGAAACGGGAGGGTCTGGGCAGGACCACAGCCCCGAACGGACTCATTGTAGTTAGTATTACATATAAAAACAGCAATTATAATGATGCATTTCATTTGTTGGCTCTTAAATGGTTGGTCAAAGACGGACAAGTGGAGTGAAACATATTTAGTTTGTATGTTTGTCATTAAACCAGTCTTAGTTATTGTGTTCTGAGCCACTGACAGAACCTCTTTGTGTTCCCACAGGTCAACCGTGTCACATGACCACAGTCGCCTCTCTCACTTGTTGTAGCTGTCAACTCTGTGATTGATCATTTTTCCGGGTGAATCTCGTTTCTGCAGGTTTTGACATCAAACCAGTTTCCCCTGACATTTTCTGTACCACAAACTGGTTTGATTCAAGTCACAGATATCAAAACACAATAAAACACATCATATATCATTTATTACATATGTTACTAAAAGAGGACGTTTGTTTTTAAAATAAAATACCAGACTAACTAACTCTTTATTCTTTCTATGCAGCCTAGTATGAAATGATCCATGGTCCAGTACTGGTCCCCAGCCCAGTGGTTGATGACCCCTCGACTAGACTCTGCAAACAGAACCAAATGTGTCCCCTGATGCAAAAGGATTCCAAGTCCAACTCAGCTGTAGCAATTGTAGCAATTCAATTGTATTGTAGCTAAAACGTTAAAGCCAAGACTTTAACAGAAACATATTTTGGTTTTTGAAGCTTATCCCTAAATATCCATTCATTATTGCTGTTGTCAACCAAGGAAACTGTTAATGCCCCCCCACAAAAAACAGTCATCAGAGACACAGATACCAGGACTTGAGTTGACCTTGAGTATTTGTGCTTGAAGATGTCACACCATCAACAGTGTAACACTGTAGTTGTTGACTGTTTTCTAAACAGCCAGCTCTTCACCCTCACATAAACAGACTGTGTTTCAGCTGCCTCGTCTGCAAAGAAAAACTGCATTTTGTCACTGAACTCATCATCATCATCATCATCATCATCATCATTAGCCACATCATAGGAAAGATCTGTTTGTCCCTGGGCAGTGTGACATCACTCACTCTTTCCCTTCCGTGACCTTTGTCAGGTGCCAGCCTCCAGAACCTGGCGACAGTCAGGCAGAGACTTTGTTTTCTGCCTGTTTTTTTTATTTATTTTTTTGTCACTTTCAGCACCTTGTACTCAGTCTAAACTACAAGTTTTAAATATATTTTTACAAACGAATCAAAAACCCGAAGAAGTGCATGTGGGCTTCTTAGCGGTTAATGAGTTGTGATCACTGCGGTTGCGACACCGTCAATCAGCCTGCAGCGACGGCAGGAACAAGTCCACACTTCCATAACTGGGAGGCTGAGGTCGTCACAAGGTTCTCCTTACACTGGGCTTCCTGAATGTCAAACAGCTGTCTGTCTGTCTGTCTGAATGATTATCTGTCTGTCTGTCTGTCTGACCCCATGCTCCACTGCAGTCTCCTGGACCAGGGTCTAAGGTCTGAGGATCTTTGGTGGAAGCGTCAAGGTCTTTCTGCTGCAGTCAGGAGTGATTTCAAGGTTTTCACTCACACGTTTCAGGAACGCGGCGCTTGTTGCTCTTAACTTGTCATTTTCACTTAATTAACATGTGTGTCTGTGCAGAGAAAGAGACTCTGGATTTACATATGGAGCAGAAGCTGCTCAGCTGAGCTCAGCAGAAAGAGTGGAAACTGGAAACAGCAGAGTCTGGAGCTAATGTAAAGAAGTGGGCCAAGACTGAAGCACACACCAATGTTCAAGTTTGAAAAAGTTGGTCTCAGAGAACTTTGGTGTTGGAACAGCAGTGAAGTTACTGTTTGCAAGAGTTTAGGTTTATATTTCTGCACTAACTTAGACATAAATATATACAATGGAATGTAAATATATTCCAGAACAGTTCTGTGGTTGATTTATTATTATAATTATTAACTCTGGTCTGATCTAAGTGTCTTAGTCTCCGTACTTACCAGTACTAAATATACTACTACTAGTATATTTGCACAGAAAAAAATATTCAGATAATTGCAAGGCGACCAACCGTATAAACACAGGTTTTTGTCAGTCCAAAAATGTGGGATAAGGTTAATGATTCACTCTAAATTTAATATCCAGTTGGTGTGAAGTGTGAATGGTGGCGTGGAACTGTATTTACTTGTCATTTTATTTATCTTATTATTTTTATTTTTTATTAAATAAATTTAAAAACCACATTGGTTCAACTCGTTACATACAGAACTTCTAGGGAATTTTCATCTCAATCCTGACATTTTGTTCCTTTTTTTCTCTTAGAAAATATAGAAATATATTATTATTCTTAATATTCTTCATCTCTAAACCACCCCTCTCCTCCTTCCCAGAGTGCCTCACTGCTCCCTGCTGCTGCCAACTGATAGGTGGAGAGGAGGGAGGAAGAGAGAAAACTCATAAGGCTTCTGGGAAAACAAACACTGGTCCAGCTTGTTGTCGCTGGTCTGTTAACCCTTTCACTGCCTGGGCTGACTGCAGGTGTAAACAACAGATCCAGGTCAGAGTTTTTTAAATATCATTTTCTCTTTTTTATTGCAAATACATATACAAAATATTCTTTGAAGACAGTACAAATACATGGCGAAAAGAAGAAGGAAATACACAAGGAAATAATGGAATCATCCGTTCAGTTCTTGGATATTTGGAGAAAGAAATAAAAAAGAATCTAAATTCAACAGATAAAGTCATAACTCGGATGTCTCTTCCAGTTTTCAAAAGTTGAAAGTCAAAAGGAAATTCACAAATAGCAAAAGATAAATTGTACACATTTTTTAAGATAATCCTCAGAAAAACACAAATACATACATAAAATAGACATTTCATTAAGATAAATAAACAAAAAAAGATGTTGATTACAGCGTGTACCTTTTTTTTTTTCTAAATACCCCCTGGGTGTAAAATCCAACATTTAAGAAATAAAAGGAAAATTATGTGAAGTCTAGAGAGGACACAAAAAATGACTAGAATGTAAAATAATCACTTTTTGAAATAAAATTAAGGCTAATAAATAATTAAAGTTTCAAAATGGGAATCTGTGGGACAGTTAGGGCGGAGGGGGAGGCAAGAGGGTGAATACAGCATGGTGGGAGCCTGCAGAGGTCAAAGGTGACTTCCTGTAGCCGTCAAACACACGCTGTTAGACGGTAAGTGTAATCTCAGCTGTGGCCAGTTAGAACAAAGTTGCAGAAAATGTTAAAAAATCCAAGGCACAGAGGGTTTGAGGGAAGGGGCTGCAGTGTCTCTGTCTCTGCAGGGGTTCTGCTGTGTCACCTGCTGGTTGTACAAAGTCATGACACACGTTTGGACACGAAGAAGAAGAAACGCCAAAGCATCATCAGTTCTGTGGTCAAACAAACCGGAAAGTTGGCACAGAAAAGACGCACAACTGGTTAAAATACTATCAAAGCTCTTGGTGTTGTTATATCCACGAGTACAGAATAATTACCCCCCTCCCCCCTTCCCTGCTCCCAACCACCCCAAACCAACCCCCAATGGATTACAGACCATCAGCAAACCCAGATTGGATACAGATGTGGCCCACTTTTGCCAAGCATCCAACATTACTAACTCCGACTTGAGTAGTAGACTCTGAGCTAACATGGTCCACACTTGGTCACATTACACACTTGGTCACATTATATGTAGCAATAACTAGATGCTTTGGTGGCCCAAGTATGGAATCCGGGAATCCAGCATGTGGGCCACATCCTAAAGCTGTGGCCCCTGGTCAAGACCCAGATGTTGTCCACCTGTTACATTGGAAAAAGCAAATATGTCACTAGGAATCAATTAGGGGGTCTAGAGACCCAGAATTCGTGGAGTATTGTCTCCCAAATGTCCCTGTTGATATATCAGGGTAAGTGCATCCAATGAGACTAGTTACTTACAGGGATTTGGTTCATTCAGTGTCCAATCAGGTATCCAACATGTGGGCTACATGTCGGCCAAACCTGAACTCTGGTATCCATGCTGTGCATACCAGATGTGGGTCACTGAAATAGATTACCGGGTCAGTCACTTGTACCTAATGAGTTTTTTGACATCACCATGGGCCAAATGGATGTGAAAATGTACCAGATGTGGTTCCATGATATTTTTGCTCTCTGGGTCTAAAGAAAAACATAAACAATGGACATAAAAATATGCAGTACCTACTGAAATATCAACAGCCATAAGTCCTCACAGAGGATTCTCTTAAGTCTTTTTCTTCTCTCTAAAAATAGATATAATTTTTTATAAATTTATAATTTCTGTCATGATACAATAGCAAGGCACGGCGTGAGCCAATCACAAAGTCCAGCTCTCCTCCTCTTCCTCTGCTGTCAATTCAAGTGTCTGATTTAAGGGAGTGTGTGTGTGTGTGTGTCTGTACATGTTGTGTCTGTCAGTGTGTGTGTGTGTGTGTGTGTGTGTGTGTGTGTGTGTGAAGTTTGATGGCTCAGGGTCTGGTGAGCTGGGTGTAAACCGGAGCCTGCTCCCAGTGCTGTGGGCTGCTCTGGGGGATGGAGGGCACTCCCGAGTTGTCGGCTATGGGCGTGTACATGGGCCTCTGACTGGGGCTGCTCATGTAGCTGAAAGTCGAGTACAGCCCCGAGCCTTGCCCCGCCCCTGCGTGACTGTAGTAGGAGGAGGCAGGGGTGGTGGTGTTGCCTCCGCCCCCCTGGTGGTCGGAGAAGTCGTACTGCTGTTGCTGCTGCTGCTGCTGCTGCTGCTGCTGCGCCCTGGAGAGGGCCGTGTAGGAGGCGGGGGAGGTGTAGTGCTGCAGGTTGAAGGGGCTGTAGGAGATGTGCTGGGGGGACCCCTGCTGCTCGCTGTAGTGGCTGGGACTCAGCTGCTCCGTCTTGATCTGTGTCCTGTGCTGAGCTGCGTCTGAGCTGCTGTTACTGCTGCTGCCGCCCAGGGTGGTCAGGGTGTGCTGCTGCTGCTGCTGCTGCTGCTGTCCCTGCTGGGTCTGGCTCTTGGTCATCCAGGCTGTGGCAGCCCCCGTCTGTGGGCTGAGCGGGGGACCACTGGTTATGCTGTAAGTGCCAGTGTAGCTGACGGGCGTGGTGTTGCCCGGCACGCCTGGGTGCCCGTTTGGTGGCAGGTACTGGTCGAACTCGTTGACGTCAAAGGTCTCGATGTGGGAGATGACGTCGCTGCTGAGTTCGCCAATGTCCACGTCACGGAAGTCGATGTTGAGCTGGCGACCGCCGGGTCCATCGGGCAGGGAGCGAAGACCACCTTCACGCTTTAGGTCAACCTTGCCTGAGCTGATATCAGTCTTTGGGGTGGTCGGGGGTGTAGGGGGTCCTTGGGAGCCTGGAAATGTCAAAACATAATGTTATCATTGTATTTTTTCATGACAAATCCACAGAAATGTCACAAGTCAGGTGTAATTTTTTTTTTTTTTTACCTGAGTGCTCACCCGGTGAGTGCACGTCTCCAATACTGGAGGCGGGAGAGTCCGCCTGCTGCAGAGCCTTGAAGATGGCGTTTGGGGAGATGTGTGTCTGCTCGCTGCCGTCCTCTGGATCGTTCTGTCCGTTCTTCACAGACTTTCTGCGTCTGGGCTGGTACTTGTAGTCCGGGTGATCCTTCTTGTGCTGCACCCGCAGGCGCTCAGCCTCCTCCACGAACGGCCGCTTCTCCACCTCGTTAAGTAGTCTGTGCAAAAATTGACGCAATTAACAACTATGATGTGACATAACATGTTAAAACATTATTAAAATACAAGATTAGAGTGAGTCATAAAGTCTTGATGTATTGCTGTGGACGCAGTGTTTTAGAAAAGAAAAAACACGTGCGTAAAAGCGCATTTACACAGGAGTAGAAACCGATTTTTCACACTTACCTCCAGAGTTTCCCCAGAGTTTTGCTGAGCTCAGCGTTGTGCAGGTGCGGGTGCTGATCCGCCAGCTTCCTGCGCGCAGCCTGCGCCCAGACCATGAAGGCGTTCATTGGTCTCTTGACGTGAGGCTTGTTCTTCGTAGATCCGTTCACGCGTACCGGCATGGGCACCAGAGTCCAGTCGTAGCCCTTGAGCACCGCGGACACAGCATCCCGGATACAAACGGGAAACTTATCGTCCTCGTCTTTCTTGAAGTCGATCAGGGTTCCGTCCGCCCTCAGGATTCCGTTCTCGGACGGCCGGGTGTTTTCGGTGTCGGAGCCTGACCCGGACGGGCACGGGGAGCCCGCGGAGTCCTCGGACATGCTAGGGCTCGGGGCGTCAGAGAGACACTTGTCCTGTTCCTCCGTCATCTTCAGGTATGGGTCGAGGAGATTCATACGCAGACCGTTTCTCAACCAAAATTACACGTGAATCGAAGGATGAAAAAGTGCGTTCTCAGGCGAGGAAAACGTCTGCGAAAGTGAGTCTAACTTGCCAGGATGAGTTGGAGTAAAGTCTCTTTGGATGAAGTGCACAGCTGACTGTCTCTCTTTCTCTCTGCCTCTGTACCTCTCTCTCTCTCGCGCGCGCGCTCTCTCTGCACCGGCGCGTAAAACTCGGTTTGGAGAGATTTACGCACAGTCTTCTCCGTCGCAAAACGGCCTCTGCAAACAAGTCCGCGCTTTAAACGGCACCAAAACGAGCCTGACGGTGCAAAGTGAAGTTTGGTCTCTCAACTCTACAGCATGAAAAGGTCGAAATGCTCCTTTTTGGTCTCCAAGTACATTCCCAGAGCGCGTGAGTGTGTTTGAACGGCGGAGTCTGTGGACGCGGTTTATAAGGCTCAGCAGCACGCCGCACAGGAAAACCCACTTCTGATTGGCTGGGGGAGTGTGTGACGCCAAAGTGGGTCTGGAGGAACTCGATCCGGTTGGCACACTCCCAAAATACACACACACACACACACACATACACACACGGGCAGAACAGAAAACACTGACACTTTCCATAAAACGCACTTAAACACAGCCTGTACATAACGACGTTACTACAAACGTTTAGATTGTTTTTAACATACTGCAGAGGAATCTGTGTTTTTTAACATTCGAACTCAACCACGTATTTATTGTAATTATTTAGAAATTCGAATTTACCGAAAATGACAGTTTTATTATGTTGTAGTCTGAAAAAACGTTCACTACAGACATAAATTTATTGAAAAATACTATGTAAAGTAAAAGAAAAGACCACAATGAGTTTTTAATTCATCATAATATATTGCATCTGACATCATAAACTGCAATGCACGGTTCTCTGCTGCAACTTCCAAACATTTAATGGCTGGCTCTGCTTACAGTTGTCAAGTCTGGTCAATAGGGGGAGACAGCAGTCTGGAAACCTGCTCTTTTCTCCTGCGGGAGAAGGAGGAGATTGGGTGGAGGAGGAGGGATGCACAGGGAGGCAGTTCCAGTGTGCAGCAGTTTCAGTCAGACATCAGCTCCTGAATCGTGTCCCTCGTCTCAGTTCCAAACCAGAGCGAAAATCTGGTGAATATCAGGGGAGGATTTTATTTCTGTGGCCGCTCCACTGCTGCGTTCAATCAACAATGAACTCCTGCTTTGATAGTTGACAATTTTAGGAGTGTTTTGAAACTTTATATCTGCTGCTCCATCGATGCTTTTATTGTTAATAGAATGTACTGCACTTCGTTTCATGCCTTTATTTTGGGAACATGAAGTTCATTTCTTATAATTTTACATCATCTTTTTCTACATTTTTTTTTTGTATTTGTTGCACATGTACAAAAGAACATTTCTCCACTGGTTGACCTGGCAGTGGGATTTTTTGTTGTTGTTTGGTCCTCCAGCAGTCAGGGATCAGATTTTTGGAAAACAATAAAATCACATTGTTTTTTTTCCAGCTTCAAATGGACAGATATTCACTTAATACTCTGTGTCCAAACTTAGGCCCAGGGGCCAGTTTAGTTTACTCTCTCAAATGTTTGTGGCCCAACAGCTGTGACATGTACATACACCTTTAGGATAACTTAATAAGTATTTAACTATTAGCCTAGTACTCTTAGCTATTATTGTTACACTGATAGCAATAGCTGACTGATGGTTTTAGCTTTTTGATTCAGCAGTGTCTAGGCCTGATCTCTGTGTTTTATTGACCAAAATACCATGGTGCAATAATTGAACGTGGTCTCTTCAAAAACAAAGCTGTGACATCGACCAAATTCAGATTGATACGTTTCTTTGCACGTCTTGTGTTTGTGACATTTAACAGGGACTTCAGTGTCAACGAGCCATAAACCCAAACAGGAGTGCAGCAGAACGGTGTCTCTGCAGGACCGGGGTCAGAACAGTGGAGGTAACATGAAGTCCTGCGCCGCGGTCACTCAGTCAGGGTAAAAAACACGCCCCCTCTGATTGTTTATTATGCTTTGTGGAGATGTGGAAATGTAAATCTGGGTCCAGGCTAATGTGGACAGCATGTGCTACCTGAAGTGGCTTTAATGGCTCACAGATGTCAGGTACAGCCGTCTCACTGAGGCTCCACAGCACAGAGCAGCAAACATCTCCTCCTGTGTGTTGGACAACATGACAGCTGCTGTTGTCTGAAGGCCTTTGGCTGCTGGGATCCTGTCGTTCACTCACTCTTTAGCTAAGAATACATATGGCTCCAAGTTAGGCTGGAAACAGCCGAAAGGATAGGCACAGAGAGTAGTAGTAGTAGTAGTGGTAGGAGGAGTGGGAGGAGGAGTAGGGGTAGGAGTAGTAGGAGGGGGGGGGGGGGGGGTGGGGGGGGGGGGGGTGGGGGGGGGGGGGGGGAGGGGGGGGGGGGGGGTGGGGGGGGGGGTGGGGGGGGGGGGGGTAGGGGGAGGAGGGGGGGGGGGGGTGGGGGGGGGGGGGGTAGGGGGGGGGGGGGGTGGGGGGGGGGGTGGGGGGGGGGGGGGTAGGGGGGGGGGGGGGTAGGGGGGGGGGGGGGGAGGAGGAGGGGGGGGGGGGGGGAGGGGGGGGGGGGGGTAGGGGGGGGGGGGGGGAGGGGGGGGGGGGGGGTGGGGGGGGGGGGGGTGGGGGGGGGGGTGGGGGGGGGGGTGGGGGGGGGGGTGGGGGGGGGGGTGGGGGGGGGGGGGGTGGGGGGGGGGGGGGGGAGGGGGGGGGGGGGGTGGGGGGGGGGGTGGGGGGGGGGGGGGTGGGGGGGGGGGTGGGGGGGGGGGGGGGGGTAGGGGGAGGAGGGGGGGGGGGGGTGGGGGGGGGGGGGGGTAGGGGGGGGGGGGGGTGGGGGGGGGGGGGGTGGGGGGGGGGGGGGTAGGGGGAGGAGGAGGGGGAGGAGTAGTGGGAGGAGGAGGAGTGGGGGGAGGAGGAGGGGGGGGGGGGGTGGGGGGGGGGGGGGGAGGGGGGGGGGGGGGTGGGGGGGGGGGTGGGGGGGGGGGGGGGGTGGGGGGGGGGGGGGGGGGAGGAGGAGGGGGGGGGGGGGTAGGGGGGGGGGGGGGTGGGGGGGGGGGGGGGTGGGGGGGGGGGGGGGTAGGGGGAGGAGGAGGAGTGGGGGGGGGGGGGGGTAGGGGGAGGAGGGGGGGGAGGAGGGGGAGGGGGGGGGGGGGTGGGGGGGGGGGTGGGGGGGGGGGTGGGGGGGGGGGGGGGAGGAGGAGGGGGAGGAGTAGTAGGAGGGGGAGGGGGAGGGGGGGGGGGGGGGTAGGGGGGGGGGGGGGTAGGGGGAGGAGGAGTAGGAGGAGTAGGAGTAGGAGGGGGAGGAGGAGGAGGGGGAGGAGGAGGAGGAGGGGGAGGAGGGGGGGGAGGAGGGGGAGGGGGGGGGGGGGGGGGGTAGGGGGAGGAGGAGGAGGAGTGGGGGGGGGGGGGGGGAGGAGGGGGGGGGGGGGGTAGGGGGAGGAGGAGTAGTAGGAGTAGTAGTAGTAGTGTATAGAGACTACAAATAACTACAGATGTGCAACAGTATCCTGGCAGGTAACCAAGAAGGTAGCAAAATGTTACACTACAAATGGCTAAAAGTGTGTTAACAGCTGAAATGTAGATGTGAAGTATAAAAGTATAAAAGTACTCAAACTAAATAGACGTTAGAGTAGCACAGCATAGCCTAATAGTTACAGTAACTTTAGACAGACTTGATCTCAAATGTGATTCCACCCATTTTAGTTTGAACTGGTTTCACTTCCGTACGACATTAGACCATCTGCAGGATGACGGTGCCGTCCACCCTGTGGTCTGGGACGTGGCTGCAGACCCTGAGTGAAGACGTGCAGAGGGCGGGGCCAGGCCTTGGGAAACTTCTCATCTTCACTTGGTGCTACAGCGTAAAAAATCTGAGCAAACAGTGGGAGTCAACTGCTAAACTCCTGCCTCGGACTGTCTTTTGGGAAGTTTCAGCCTTTTCTATCACTCAGCTGCCGCAGCATCACTGCAGCTCCACACACTGGTATACTCTGCACTTTTTGTTTTATGCTATGCTACGTCGGTACATTACATACAGCCTTAAAAACCCATGATGTGGTGAGAAGTTGCAAGGAAAAGCCTGTGTGTGTGTGTGTGTGTGAGAGAGAGAGAGAGAGAGACCATCTGATTACAGCTCCCTCACTGGTTGCATTAACACTTATCTTTATTTCCCCACCTCTGCTGCTGAGATCAGTTTGTTCTGATATGAAACCTGAGTGGAACCAAAGCCACGGCTCAGACCAACAGTCAGTAACACTGTCAACAACAGTCAGTGACACTGTCAACAACAGTCAGTGACACTG